AGCGGCGCGACGAGGACCGCGATGCCGTACGGCGTCTTGAGGTGAAGGATGATGGACGTGCGCAGCGAGTCCATCCCCTTGTTGTACTTCTTGCAGCAGTTGCCGTTCTTGTTGGCGCACGTCTTGGTCTCGACCATCTAGGCGCCGGTGGAGGCAAAGTCAATCCACACCGCACACACACACGAGGTGGCGGGGGCAAGGGCCAAGCAGCCTCGGTGACGGCGGGCGTGTACGTGCCGCCGATCAGAGTGCAGTCCGCCTCGCTGACGGTGATGGCATTGTTGCCGACGGCGCACGAGGACGGCGAGACCTCGGTCTCGACTTTGGGGAACTCGTCGCAGACCAGGTGGCGAGGCCACAGGCCTACGACCGCAACGAGCCGACAGTCCGGCTCGCGCCCCCCTCACGGGGGCGGGAAGCGCCGCCTCGCCGTAGATGTGGTCGAGGTTCTTGCCGTAGAAGGAGGCGACGCCGTTGGCTGCGACAACCTGCGTCACAATTGCGCGTGTGCGCGTATGTGAGAGTATGGAGAGTGAACGGGGGTGCGGGGGTGGGTGGGTGGGTGGGTGGGGGGTAGACGAGAGTGTTCTTGAGAGGTGCCGGCGAGTCTCGCCTGCGGCTCCATCGCGACGCCGAGGCCGAAGGCGAGCGAGAGCATGACGATGAAGCTGTTGCGGCGAACCTTGAGTACACCGAGAGATGCGCCGAGATGCGCCCAGATGCGGGCCGAGACTATACCTCTGGAGCGGTCCAGGATCTGCATCGCCCACTCCCGGCTACTCTCGGCTGTATCTCGCCTTGAGGAGCGGGCCGAGGATCTGCATGCCGGCGACGAAGACCATCGTGAAGCACTGAGAGGCAACCGATACGCTTTGGAAACGGAAGCTTTTGAAAGGGTGGCACTGCGTCGCCGTTGCGCTGCCTGGAGGATGACGCCGCCTAGTCGGCAGCAGCACGCAGTTGGTGTGGTATGAACTTTCGCCGCGGTGAAGCCCTGGAGCGTGAGCCGCGCCGACGATCGGCATCGGGATGGAGGCCATCGCCGCGCCGACCTGAGGTGTAAGGCAAGGTAAGCTCCCCTCTGGTAAGCTCCCCTCTCTCTCTCTCCCCACACACACACAACGGCAGTGGTGGTGGGGCAGGAGCTCTGGCAAGAAGGGGGGAGGCTACCTTGCCGAAGAGTCCGATGAAGATGAGCCAGCCGGCGCACGCGAAGCCGGCCGAGCGCGACGCGCACCTGCGTTCACCTCGCGCTGTGAAGAGGCGCCTCGGTGTGGGGGCGGGCTGTGGTGTTCACAGCCTCGAGCTGTGAAGACGGCGGTCTGTTCACAGTGGTGTGTGCGGAGCCCAGCTGGCCGGGGCACAGCGAGGGGGGTGCAGTCCGCACTTGGTGAGCGCGATGATGCCGTTGTTCTGCGAGAATGTTGTGTTAGGCGGCGAGCCTGTGAGAAGGCGTGGTGAGAAGGCGTGAGAAGAGACGCTGCTCGGCCGGGGCCTTGGAGGTGAGGTCGGAGGCGAGATTGCGGGAGATTGCGGGGGTGATTGCGGGAGGTTGCGGGAGATGAGGGTTGGTCTGTAGGAGGCGCCGCAGAGGCACGCGATGATGGAGTTGACTCCGTCCGCCAGCACGCCGCCCTGCTG